GGGGGGAGGCTTCCAAGAAAGGGCATCTGTGACCCCAGGTTGCAAGCTTTCCATTTCATTGGGGGAACAACTCACCTGCCCTCCATCTCCTGGCTTTCCTCCCTGGCCTGGCGCAACCTGTGCTCCCTCCGCCGGCCCCTCAGAGGAGGTTGCAGCCCGATCCTCTTCCACACCAGTAGCCCTGATGAGAGGAGGGAATGCCACTCTGGTTGCACTACTATAAGCTTCATGAATTAAGGTTCTAAACCATCTTCCCGTTAACAGAAGTGCAGTGGTACCCCCGTACTTCCACACCAAAGTTGGGCCTGTGAGGGGACTCTCTCTTCCCCACCCTGGGCCCAGGGGACAGGTCAGGACACTGCTGAGGACAGGGTAAAACACAGCGAAGTGACACCATGTACTCTGGTACCGTGAAAACATTTGTAAAACAGCTCTGTACCCTTGACATTTTCAATACGCTTTCTCCCGACGATCAAAGCACAATGCGCTTTTGCTTGGGTTTCCTTTTTCCCTAGAGACGAATCCCCCGGCTCTGGGCGGCCACCTTCCCGGGGGTCAGTGGGGGGAGGCCCTGTAGCCACAACTGGCTTCTCAGGGACTTCTCTCTGAAATCTTAAACTGCTCCTTTTAAACCTCACTGGCATCACGCGTGGTGTACTGTTTGAAGGGAAGACCGAGAGGAAATTCTACATCCAAGTCTGACAATGTAATCATTTCTCCTAGCAGCAGTCACTGCCGCCGGGGGTGGTGGTGGTGGTGGAACGGGAACGGAGGAGCTGAGGTTCCTCCCCACCTACCTGTCCCCCCCACCAGGCAGGACGTGTGGCAGACTGGGTCAGAAGTGGAATGACGGGTCTGCTGCAGGAATGCTGTGATAGGTCATAACCGGCGTCTCCCAGGGGCTCTTAGCTGTCTTGGCTTCTGAGATGTCGACTGATTAAGTACAGTGGCTGTGTTTTTAAGACAGACAAACGTGAAGAAATGAGCCCGTTAAGGGCGTATCATTTGCTTAGCCTGCCAGGCTCCATAAGTTCCCACTCAGAAGATGTCAAGATAGAGCCAAACATGCAAACTCTGTTTCCAAAGAGACCGTGTGCCATTGGAGTGGGGGTGGGGGGAGTTCAGAAAGTCACAGACTCTTCATTTCCCACGCACTTTCTCAAGCCCCCTCATGTACCCTGAGGCCACAGAGACCAAGGTGGAGACTGGGGGGCTGGGGCTGGGACATGCAGCACAGGTCTGATTGGAAGCATTTCTACGCAGCCTAGCTCTTGGGCCCGGAGGTGGCCCACAGGTGGGCATACTGCACCACACATAACCGCAGAGCTGCCCAAAAGCCGCGTCACCTCAGAGAGAGACTGGTTGTTGCCAGAGCAGGAGGGGCCAGCGGGGTGAACAGGGCCCAGCCGGCACTCAGGCTCACAAGAAACTGGCCGGCTTCCGTGGGTAAGCCACTGAGCACAAGCCTGCAGTGGCTGAAAAGCGGGAGGGAGACTGAGAGCAGCTGACAAGCACAGCTGTGTGTTCTGGTGGCCGAGGCGAGGGGAGCCAGTGGCCCCGAGGAAGCCTGCGTGGCAGCTGTGTCAGCGTTCTTCCTGGGAAGTTAGCAGGTGAGGCTGGAGGTCCATGCAACAGCATGATCGGGGGTGGTTATTTATGTGGACGCTTACAGCCTTTATTCTTCCAGTTCAGGCTGAAAGACAATTTCCATACATTGCGATGGGTTGGTTCTCCAGCCAAACCATGTTCCATATCCCCAAGGCTGTTGATATTCCCACTAATAAGCCAAGTTAACATCCGATGCCCTCCCTGAGATCCTTTACAACAGTGGTTCTCAACCTGCCTCATGCCACAACCCTTTCATATAGTTCCTCATGTGGTGGTGACTCCCAACCATAAAATTATTTTCGTTGCTACTTCATCAATGTCATTTTGCTACTGTTATGAATTGGGCGACCACTGTGAAAGGGTCGTTTGGCTCCCAAAGGGATGGAGACCCACAGGTTGAGGACCACTGCTTTTCAAAGAACAGCAAACCTACCCTCCCATGGGCCCTACCTGGAAACAGGTCGTTACCACTTTCTGCCATGTGCCTGGACGCCGAGGTGCTCGCCTCTCTCCTCTCTGCGGCTGGTGCCAGGACGCCCTTGTTCTCTGCCTCCCGGTCACCGTCACCACAGAGGGGGAGGAAGAGATGTGGCTTTAGAGAAAGGAACCTTTTTTTTAAGGGGTTAGGGTTGCAAAATAAAGCATGGCTGGAGTATGCGGGTGGATGGCGGGGGAGGCTGGTAGGGAAGCCCTCAGTTCTGGCTCAAATCCGTATTTAAAAGGAGCCCACCGCCCACCCGTCACAGCGCGAAGTCTGGGCAGGACCAGCATGAAGCACGGGCTGGGCTTACCTGGTGGCTGCTGCTGTTGCTCCCTTCACAGGGCCAGCCCTGGGCTGGGGGCTCCACAGCCATCAAGAGGCTCTGGTGCCTCCTGGGCCACGGCTGGTTCTGGAACATCTTAGGATAAGGCTGGAAAAGGCTGCCTGACCTGACGGGGTCCTGTGGTCTGATGGTTCCCAAAGAACATGGCAGCGCCCACTCTCAACTCACCGGGACCTCCCAGCTGCATCCCCATTTGGGGAAGGATGAGGAATGGCAGAACACAACTGTCCTGTCACTGTGTCCACACCAGAATGGCGGGGCGGGTGGGGGTGGGAAGAGAGGGGACTCAAGAGGGAGAGAGTTCATCTTGAAAAGGTTCCTGAAACCAAGGGGGAAAGGACATCTGCTCTAAATGCTTCTTACAGAGAAAAATGTGATACGAGATGCGAGTTTGAAACCAGGCTCAGGACCCATCAAGGCTGCCATTCACGCACCGGTGGGAAAGGGAGGTGGGGCTACCAGAACGCTGGCCTGGGGACGCTGGCCCAAAGGACTGAGCCGCACAGAAGCCGCCGAACAGAGGTTGACAGGGGAAGCCCTTGCGGGCAACCTGCCCGCCTCTGGAGCTGGCCCCAAGGACCCCTGAGGACGGGGCAGGAGTTCACGCCACAGCCCACACAGAGCCCTTGGAAAACACTTGCTGGCAAAAGGGAGCCCCTGCCAAGGACAGATTATAATAAAAATGATTACACAGTTTTATTCTGAAGAACATTTTGCATTTTAATAAAAAACAGAAGGAAACAAAAGAGAAAACCAAAAAGGACTGACGTCAGGAAACAGTCATTTACAAACCTTGGAAGTGTTTTTGCCTGGATCTGGAGTAAGCGTGTCTTACGAAGAGGTTTGTCAGGTCTTCATAACAAAGTGTTATTTACAAAACATGAACAAAACAGGTTATCTATGTAGTATTTAAAAACCTGAACCCAAAATTGCTACCTGCATGTTGGATGGCAGGAAATCGATCCCCTGCCAGGATAACTTAACAAAGTCAGCAAGCTCCCGTTTTAACTGAAAGGGGAGCCTCACCAGAGCTGACTTACCCCAAAGCGAGTTTTCCTCAGGACAGTCGGGGTGAGTGCATTCTGGTGAACAAAACAGGAACACAGAAACACGCAACCAGCCCTCGCCATTCGCATATAAAAGCCCTCCAGGAGAACACACAGCACTGCAGCAACAGTGTCATCAGAAGGCAACGATACGATCGGACAGACCGGGACACTCTCTCCACCCCTCTTTAAAGTAAGCACCACCAGTTCCCGCCGCCGGGCGCCAATAGACCTGTGCAATTCTTTCTGCACCTGAGGAGTAAAAAGGATCCTGCCTGGTCAGTTGCGATCCCCCCACCCTCCCCCAACACACACACACACACCAACACACACACTGTGAATGCCACAGGGTCAGAGGGACCAGCTTGACCCACTCTGAAATCACCTTATCAGAAGGTTAAAGTTAACAAACAACAGAGAGAGAGAAGGGAAAGGAGGGGAAACAGAATGCATCCTCAGCCCACGGTGGTCGGGGCGCCTGTCAAATCCGAGAACGCACCCACATGCGTCTTGTGTGAAGAAAGGTGGCGAGTGGCTTAAAGTGTTCTAGAAAAATGTCTGTGGTTGCCAAGTTCTATTGGGCTCAGAAATTCCCCTCCAGGTTTTCCCGAGGACGGGGGCTGGCTCTGTTTGCTCGCCTCCGGGGTCACCCGAGTGAAAACACGACCGGGTTCTGGACTTCCGTGGAGACTACAATTATTAGGGTCCACGGGTATTGCTGCAGTTCAAATACGGTACAATAATTACAAAATATAGACCATCTCTTTACAAATACAAATGATAGTATATTACAAGTCATATACAGCAAATCTCTAATTTTGAAACAAACTAGCGTTAATCTACGATTACCTGGGTGCAAATGCATTGCTATTCCAGTTTAGTCACCCTCCGAGGTGCCGTCTGAGAATGCGCGTCACAGACCTGAACCCCTGGTTGTAAGGGCGTGCTCCCCTCTCACAATGGTGCTGGTAGTTAGATCTGACATACACGCTGTATTTCAGAAGAGCTGAACGGGAACCAGGAAGCAGTGCATTGGGGGAAGGTTTAGAAATGGATCTGCTGGGCCCGGTGAATGTCTGATATGCTCGGCTGAGGTAACGACACAGGTGTGGTGACCGCCATCACCTTTTTAACCCGCCCTACGAGGTGGCGCAGGGTGGGCCGTGGCCCTGCGCGTCTGCCTTCCTCGCCCATCTGCTCAGAGGGGGCTGGACCTGCCGCTTCCCACAGGGTCCCTCGGGGCTGGCCGGAGGGGGCGGAGCCTGTGGGGCACAGCGGCGCTCCGCACCTGCTCTCCGCCAGGTGTATGGCTTCCTTGAGGCGTGACCTCACTTGTAGGAAAGTCTGAAGTGAATGAGCACTCCACACTAGTGCCTAAGCCTTCCTAACTACGAGGCACTTTCCCCACTGCCCCGC